TGATGATGATGATGATGATGATGATGATGATGATGATGATGATGATGATGATGATGATGATGATGATGATGATGATGATGATGATGATGATGATGATGATGATGATGATGATGATGATGATGATGATGATATGATGATAGAGTTGAAAATAATGATGGTGGTGGTGGTGGCGGCGGCGGCGGAGGGACAGTACAAGATGGAGGAGTGTAGGGTAGAAGCTGGCGGCTGTGGAATGACTGAAAGATGTAGGAAGAGCTTCAGACTATCCAGCAGTGGAGCCTTACGGAGAAGCAAGTGCGCGAGCTCTTTCTTGCCTCCTGCGCAAGGGAAAAGCAGAGAAAGGAGGAGCAGGGAGAAAGATTGAACCAGGAGAACGAGGACGCGAACTTACGGGGAGAAGAAGAGGTGTGTCGGAGCAAGTGAGGAGAATCGGGGAGGGAGGGGAGTGAGGGAAGAGGAGAGGGGAAGGAGGGAGGAAGAGAGGGGAGGAGGAGAGGGGAAGAAGAAGAGAGGGGAGGGGAGAGGGGAGGAGGAGAGTGACAGAGTGGAGGTTGACTGAGTTTCCAGGAGCCGATGCAGGAGACAAGCGAGGAAGTGAAGACAGAGGAAACAGAATAAGAGTGAATATAAACCAGAGGAACTCGAACAAGATGGGAGGAGGAGGAGGAGGAGGAGGAGGAGGGAGAGCAGGCGTGGGGGGCGGGGGGGAGATCAGGGGAGTGGAAGGAGCCAGGGTGTGAGTTGGAAGAGGACATGGTTGAATAGCTACACTGCAATGATCATCAAGTTTTTCTTTCCTCCTCCTCCTCCTGTGCACTCTAGTCTACATATGAAGACGTTCAAGGTTCAATGGTATTCGCTCTCGGGGACCATCCAGTAACTGAAGCAAAGTGAGAGGAGGGCAGGAAAGGAAAAGGGAGGAGGGAGGAGGGAGAGAGGGAGAGAGGGAAGAGAGAGGGAGGAGGGAGAGAGAGACAAGGAGGGGAGAGAGGAGGGAGAGAGGGACAAGGAGGGAGAGAGGAGGGAGAGAGGGACAAGGAGGGAGAGAGGAGGGGGAGGAGGGGAGAGGAGAGGGGAAGGGAACGAGGACAGAGAGGGAGAAGAAGGGAGGAGGTGGAGGAGGGAGAGGGAGATGTAGAGAGGAAGGGAAAGAGTAAGAAGCAAAGGCTTAAGTAGGATGTGGTAAGAAGAGATGATGTGGAGGGAGGGAGGGAGGAGGGAAGAACTTACGCGTCGGTATGGGAGCCCCAGGGTCCAGGAGTTGAGATGGGCTGAGCAACCAGGTAAGCAAGTTGAGGATCATCATCAAGAAGATTCAGAGGATGATGATGATGATGATGATGGTGATGATGATGGTGATGATGATGATGATGATGATGATGATGAGGAGCAGGGATTGAAACGCAGTTTGGCAAGAATCACATCAGAATGAGCATGTCATCTTGATTTACAAACAACTAAAACAACAGCAGCAAACACAACATCAACATCAGCACAAGCTGCAGCAGAATGCAACACAACACAACGGACAACCAAACGTCAACAACATACATCTTCACGAACCCTCAACCTCATTAGCATCTTCATCATCTCCAACATGTACTTCACTTCATCTCACCTTGGCAGTCAGGGGGTACTCAGGTTCCCATCCTGGCAAGAAATATTCCTCCCTGCATGCAGCCCAGTGAATTCATCGACCAAAGTTTCAAATCGCAAGACAGAAAATCAGGAGACGAAAAGGCACGGAAGAATTGCATTGAGGACACTTGGTACAAAATGAAGGGAACAAACGATGGAGGGGAGAAAGAAGACAGAAAACAAACATCTGTGTATCATACAACAAACAGAGTAAAACCATCTGTATCATATAACAACATGAATATCATGAGTTCTTCACCTGGGAGTTGAGTAACTGATGGGTCTCAGGGGATAAAGAACAGATCCGTTAAACATGATCTTGCTGTTCGCCTGCGGTATCATCGTTTGTCAACTCACATTATCAATCACATAATCAATGTCAAAGCATATTATCATCGTCATCGCTCCTGCTCCTGCTCCTGCTCCTGCTCCTTCTGCTCCTGCTCCTGCTCCTTCTCCTTCTCCCTTCCTCTCCTTCTCCTGCTCCTTCTGCTCCTGCCCCTGCCCCTGCCCCTGCCCCTGCCCCTGCCCCTGCCCCTGCTGCCCCTGCTCCTGCTCCTGCCCCTGCTCCTGCTCCTGCTCCTGCTCCTGCTCCTGCTCCTGCTCCTGCTCCTGCTCCTGCTCCTGCTCCTGCTCCTGCTCCTGCTCCTGCTCCTGCTCCTGCTCCTGCTCCTGCTCCTGCTCCTACTCCTGCTCCTGCTCCTGCTCCTGCTCCTGCTCCTGCTCCTGGTGCGCTAAACGAAAGGCCATTTCCTTTCCTCCGAGAAACCAAGCACCCTCCCCTGGTTATATTGAACATACCCCTACCCCTCGATTGACCTTTTAGTACCCACTGTTTTGAAGAAATTTTCATACCATCCTACCTTTTTGATGGAGTGCTTCCAACCCTACCCATTGTATACACAAGTACCCCTTCCTTTTCCTACATTTAGACCGGTGTTTGATTGGTCCCCCCACCCCTTACCATGTACCCCTACCCTTACCGTACCCCCCCTACCCTTGAGGTCGAGGAGATACCGCAGCCATGGCGGCGCCGAACTTATGGGATGTGTTCGGCAGAAAGAAGTTCGACGTAAGTCAGGAGGAGGAGGAGAAGGAAGAGGAAGAGGAAGATGATGAGGAGAAGAAGAAACTGTAAGGACAGGAGCAGGGGCCGGAGCAGGAACATGGGCAGGAACATGGGCAGGAGCAGGGGCCGGAGCAGGAGCAGTATGCAGGCTGTGTTTTGTTCACCATGCACCATGGCCCCATCTTCCTTCCCCCTTCCTATCCCTTTCCTTGTATTCCCCTCGTTGTCTAGTTACGCTATCTCGCTCGAGCATCTATCTACATCGGCTTCTCCTCCAACATGAGAAGTTGTGCATGCAAGAGCCAGAGCAAATTCCACACGTGTTGCTCTCTTACCTCGTGGTACTTGAGTGTCTTATCCGTGGATACATGTGCATCTTGCTGACTAGGAAGAGCGAGCGGCAGAGGGAGTGGGAGAGGCAGGGGCACAGGCATAGGCGGATCGAGAGGTAGTGAGCATGTAATGTGCTCCTCACCTGGTTCTTACAGCGAATGGTGCTTGGGAAGCCGGAAGACGAGGGAGGAAGTGAGATATGTAAAGGTGAGAGGAGATGAAGAGGTGGTGGAGGAGATGGAGATCAAAGAGGAGGGCAAGGGGGGGGGCAGGGTCATGGGCAGGACACAGCAGGCAGCAAGGTGGAGAATAGAGCAGGGAATGATAGAGGACGGGAGCGGGGCTGGGGAGGAGGAGGATGATGACTGACTGACGGAAAGGGATACGAGTGAGAATGTTCGAGGAGTATCAGGCGTCTACTCATTACCTCCGCAAGGACCTCGGCAGGTTCAAGCAGCAGGGTAAGTCTACGTCTTCGTCACCTAGTTGTCGTTTCATCTTCATCTTGATGTTTTGTATCATCGTTTTGTTTGTTTTATCTTCCTTGCGTTGTCATTTCATGGTTATGTTGTTTCATCTTCTTCTTGTTTCATTCTCACCAGTTGTATGTATCATGATCTTGCTGCCGCCTGATCTCTAGCGTCAACTCTCCCTCGCTCCTTCACCTGCATGGTGGAGATGCCTCTGGTCCCTCATGTCTGTCTTGCCTCCACAGGCGTCAGCGGTACGGTTGTGCGAGTGTTACCCGGCAAGTTTGCATGTGAGGTAAGACTGAGAGCAGTCTGCCATCTGTGCACGCAGACAGTGCTCTCATCTCTCCTCCTCCCCTGACTCTCTCGTTTCCCGACTCCATTCTCCTCCGTTGACTGCATCCTCCTCTTCCACTGAATTCCTCCTCCACCACCGACTCTCTCCTCCTCCACCACCGACTCTCTCCTCCTCCACCACTGACTCTCTCCTCCTCCTCCCCTGACTCTCTCCTCCTCCCCTGACTGGTGTGGCAGGTAGAGTGGGAGAACGGGCAGCGGGGAATCTACTTCATGAGCGCCTTGTACGCCTTCAACACTGAAGAGAAAGTCAAAGACAAGGGTGGGGAGGGCAAGCTGGACATGGTAGCCCAGCAGGAGCAGAGCAAGGTTCCCTTCTCTCCTACCAGCTCCCTTCTCCTTCCTCCTCTTCCCTTCTTCCCCCCCACCTTCTGCTTCCCCTCCTTCTGTTCCTTCTCTCCTCTGTTCCTTCTGCTGCTGTTTGGCTTTCTTTTCTCCTCTTCGCTTCTCTTCTTCCTATCCTGCATAACAGCTTCTCCCAGGCTCGCATGTCTGCCAACATGGCGAACTCCATGAGTTTTCAGCAGATGCGAGCAAAATTCAAAAACTCTCAGTGATTCCCCATTATCTCAGCTGGAGATCCTTCCGGTGTCGCCATCTCAGTTATCACCTCCGTTTCATCGAAAAAATTCCTCCTTCATCACATCCCTGTCAACTCTCTCTCTCTTGTTCAATGTACTTTTCATTTCTCGATGTCTATTTACATGTGTTAAGGTAGTCTTGTTTGTAAAAATGTTCAGATTTCCTCCCCGCGCCGCTCGCTCTCGCACCTTCACCCTCACTCTTCTTTCCCCAAGGATCTGAATGTCAGTTTGCACTCCAATGATTCACACCATCCCTGATTGGAACGAAAGTTCCTCTCCCACTTGCGAGCCAGTCTCAGGGGTCATGGTCTCGATCTTCTCGATCTTCTCCATCACCAGCTGAAGCTGCCCCTGCAGCCCCGCCATCGCCTCCCGCAACTCCTCCACGTCTCCCCGGCCCCATCCCGCGTGTATGGTCGACCCGAGGTCATCCGTCAGGTCTGCCAGATCCTTCATGCCGGTCCTCGAGTTTGACAAGGAAGAGGCATGTGTCAAAGTCGACTGCCGTCGCTTATCCTTGTGCCGAGCCACCTCCCTGCGCGTCGGCACGATCCCCCCACCATCCTCCTCCTCCGAGTCGCAGACGGAGTCAAGGGCGATCTTGATCCCGCTGTCGCTGTCCTGCTTCCTGCGGGAGAAGAAGAACTCATCGTTGTCCCTCCTGGACTCCTTGAGAACGTCGTTAAGGCTCGGGTTCAAGGCGTGCAAGCTCAGATGCCTCGCAAATCGCTCCTGGGTGCTCGAGCTGGACTCCTTGACCAGCCTCAGCTTCATGGTCAGCGAGAACCATCGGTTCTCCACCCGCGCTCTTCTCGCCTCCATCAGGATGTTGGAGCTCGACCTCCGCAGTGCCTGCGTGCGCGAGAGCGTCGAAGTGATGTGCTTCTGCCCTCGGGCATGCAGCTCCTCCTTGAGAGCTGGGGGGTAGTTGGCGATCAGCTCATCGAAGGCGCTCTTGGTGAGCACGAGGCACATCAGGCGAGTCATGGACTCGCAGGTGATGTCAAGTCGGTTGTAACTCGCTCCCCAGTCCGTGTCCCCTAGCAGAGCGTACTCCCCGATGTAGTCGCCAGGGTTCAGGTCGAAGAGCTTGGTCCCGTGAGAGTTCTGGTTGAAGGCAACGTCAGTCCGCAGGTCAAAGATGTTGGCGTACGTCTTGATCTGAGCGACCCCGGTGGAGATTATGATCAGCCTGTCAGCCTTGGTGGTCGAGTCGCAGATGATGGAGCCGTAGTAGTAGGTCACGCTCCTCAACGCCGCCCAGATGTCGAGGATCAGCTCCTTCATGGACGGGTGGACGACTCCACTGAAGATGGAGATCCTGTTGAGAGTTCCCTTGTGCATGTAGTGGAGGAGATTCCGACGGAGTTTCATCGGAAGAGAGTTCAAGACCTCGTTCTGGACTTTCGATCGCTGCGTCTCCTCAAAGTCGAACGAGGCCCAGTGCACGACCTCGTTTTCCAGGTTGAAAGGAATCTCGTTCTTCCTCAAGAAGTCCAAGATCGCTTGCACATGGTTGTCTCGGTTCCTCGCCTGCCTTGTCCACTGGTTCACAATCTGCTGCACCTCCGCCAATAGAATTCCAAACACCAACGAGCCCAGATACATGACCACAATGCAGTAAACTCTCTCCGCGTGGTTTTCCGCATACACGTCTCCAAAACCTTGGCAGATCAAGTCAGTTGTTGACATCTACTCGACCACTACATACCTATGGTCGTGAAGATGGTTGTGACGAAGTAGAAGGATAAAGTGTACTCGTCATCGATGCCCTCCTGCATGCTCTTTGATTGGATGAAAAGAGACACCTCCTCATTCGAGTTTGTGGTCACTTTGACCAACCAATACAAGCAGGAGCACAAGTGAACCATGAGGCCGATGGACGCAAACAGTTTGCTTAGCCGCATGATCCTCGGAGGGACTCGAAAGCGATTCCCCAGGGTGTCCATGAGCTTGAAGGTCTTCACAACCTTGACAATACGAAAGATCTTGAAGAGACGCAGAGGCTTCATCACGCGAATGATTCTCAGCGCATTGGGTGAGAGTTCTAGGTTGCTACTCTGAAACACAACATGTCATGTGAATCATTGAGATCGCTCTGAGTACCACGGGGCACGTTGAAAGCATGACAACTTCAACGTACGACACGGGGAAGGACGTGATGGTGTCAAACACAAAGTTGGTGCGGAGATAGTTGAAGAACACCCACTGAGAGCACAAAGAGTCAATGACTACTTGATCAGACGGACTACAAGGAATTTGACTGTCACCTTCAGGTCGTCGATGTATCTCCCCTGGTGGTGGACTCCGATGAAGAATGTATTTAGTATATCACAGATGAAAAACGTGTCCACAAAAATATCAAAGTTCAATGTTGGAATGCTGGTGCAGGCATTGGAATCCCAGAAGAAAGCCACTGTAACCTTTGAAAGTAGAAAGTAAGAAGACTCCGGTTTCCAATCACCGAAACCTACCGGTGTGTTGATAGCTGTGTATAAGAGCAGCAAACCCATGAAGCCAGAGAAAAGCAAGGTGTAGGGAGAGTTTGGATGAATCAGCTTTGAGGAAGGGAGCCTCTTTGATCTGGGCCCGATACCTACAACGAGCAGGCTTCAATTCCATTACTTCTTCTTTTACTGGCTGTCATGTTACCGAAAAACATCTTGATGAAGCTATGGTTGTACTCCGAATCCTGGCGCGACATCAGCATCGAACTCTCTGACTTTGACGATCTTACCGCATCGGTTGACAGCATATCAACATCAAGTGCATAAGTCTGTTCAGGAGGAATCATCATCACCAAACTCAAACGGCGCGAGGAGAACAACAATCCAACCTGTCGATCTCGTCTTTGAATTTTATGCATGACTGCTGTAGACATTTCGAGTAATCAGTTATCCTCATGATCCGTCACAAAGAGAACCGTTGGAATAGTTGCTGCCCTCTCCGTTTCCATTTCTTTCTGTATCTTCCATGGCTGATTTCAAACGGCAAGTCTCGAAGTCTGCGAGCCTTGTTTGCGATCAGGTCCATTGACAGACTCTCTGCTTGCGCATATCAGTGTCCTGACAAGAGCTTGATCAGTTCAACGCTTCACCGATTGATCTTGTGTACACGAGATATTCATTCTCCCGACGGCCAATGCGTCTACAACTGCCATAGGTGTTAGCTATGTCGCTTTTGGTATTTGTAGATCTGAATGATGTGCATCCTCTCAGAATGCATGAAAGTCGGAGAGTTCAACAGGCCCGGGGCATTTTTCAAGCAGCCATCGCCAGCATTATCCCTCTCTCCAAGTGCTCCTCTTCGCCCATGAAATCCCCTTGAAGTGTCTGTTCCTGGTCTATCCACTACTGCTGCCAGCGCCCGGACTTGTTTCGCTCCCTGCTCTTTCCTCCTGAAGATAGCCATATCCCTCAGAGCTCTTGCTCCCTGCTTCATCCCTTGCATTTCCTCTACTTGCACTTCTGCGGCACAGCGGCATTGCGCTCCGTTCGAAAAACTGATTTCTATGGGGTACGCCCTTCAGGAGGGGTAGGGTACTACTAGTAAAGTAGGGGTGGAGGTTGTCGTCTTTGGGGTCAATGTCATATCCTAAAGTTGATATTTTCAGGGGTAGGGTAGACGGCGGGATTAGGGGGTAGGGGTTATTCCATTCCGCGGTACTATTATGGCTCCAAGGGCGGCCCAACCACACGGTACGGTAGGAACCGCGGGGGGTGGTGCGATGCCGTGAAGGACCCCTCCCCGTTGGCCCGGTACTGGTTCAACCGGTGGCCCCTTCGAGCACTCGGACCCCCTTTGAAAATTGAGTACCGGTCCATTACAGCTTGAAACTAACAATTTTGACCTAGGGTTAGTACCGTACCTGCCTGAAAGCCGCCGCTCAGTCCCAGCCTACGGCACTGGGCCCAGTAGTACCCGGTGGTGTGACCTCAAACGGCCGGAAGCCGCTCATCGGACCCCCGGCTGGCGCCCCCGACTCAGTGGGTGGAGGCTGGTCAGTAGCTGCCTGCAGTGAGTGGAGGGTGGGTGGGTGGGTGAGTTGTCAGGGTCACCGTCGTCCCCGCCATTCCGTGACCGTCTGTCATCTGCCTGAGGGGGGCCCAGGCACGGCTACTCACTGATTGTTCTCGTACTGATTTTTAACTTAACTTTGAGTAAAGACTGAGTCAGAATTGAACAGTGTCGCTGGCCGCACGGTGCGGGGGTACGAACTCGGAAACTTCGGAGCTGAGGCTGGCGGCCCCGGTCAGGGGTGGACCGTACACCGGTCGTGAGCACACGGGGGGAGGGTCCTTGACTACCCTACGGTCACGGGTGGAGACATGGAGGGGCAATTAAAGTTTTGAGTGGGAAAAAGATTTTCAGCAAAAATTCTAAGGTAGGTTTAGGGTTTTTCTAAAGATCAAGGGTAGGTGAATCAACAAAAATCAAAGATTTCGGGCGATTGCTGACAGGTCACGATACTTTAAAATTTTCATAATTACTTATACATTGCATACTATGTGCTTTATAATAAGTTGCACAAAACGCTACCAAACGTTTCGATTTTACATTTAGTTGTACCCTGCGCGGGAAATGCAGGCAGAGGAAGGCTCGACAAAGGCCAGGAGGCTCAGCATGAGTGCCAAGCTACGTGCTGTGAAACAAGAGCTGGAGCTCGACCTCCCTACCAATGCGTCGTACATTGTCATTGTTGAAAGTGGATTTCGTTGCTTGGGTATGAAACCCCCCGAACAATTGTCCTTGATCCAGCGTGTCGAGCGGCTCTATGCCCTCATCTTCGATGCCCCGACCTCTTCATTATCATCACCTCCCCTTCCTCACACATGGAATGACCCTTCAGATCCGTTGCTTCCTCACGGAGCGGACACATCTTTGCCTGAAGATGATAGTTGTGCAAGCCACAACTATCAATCCATATCAATCGGGGAAGAGCCCTCCTGCTTTTGGACTAGTGAAGACGAATGTGTCTCCTCATCTGAATCAGAATCATACAACAAGGAACCTCCATCTGACCATGTCATGACGTTGCGCGGATTGCAGTTCTCCAAACGACGTGAATGTACAAGATTCCTTAAACATATCAACTTGAAGGATTACAACAAGCAAATCAAGAATACTCCTAGCAAAAAACTCCATGGCATGACCGGCTATATCATGCGCTGCTCCTGCTCTACATGCCCGTGAGCATCATTCTTGTTGCTTTCATGTCGTTTCCTCTCATTGCATTCTCTCAGGTACACAGTCATCGTCAAGAGGGGCAAGCAACACAAAAAGGATAAGTTTACCATCAATATGGAGGATAGCACCCTATACCATAGCACATTGTGCTCTTCCGTGGGAAATGCCGGAGCGAGTTATCTAGTTCATTCCAAACCTTTCCGTTCTATTATCGCCGAAGGGTCCAGGAGGGACATTGGAGGCAGTGTTCATCGACGTATGACAGCCGAAGTCATTCAGAAGTTGTTCAAAAAACGCACTGGCATCTCCGCTACACTGCATAACATTTATATTGCTCGCCTTGAAGTTGAAAATGGATCATGGGATGACTATGTGGCTTCTTTCAATATTTTACCCCAGTGGATCTCCAAGTATTGTGAGTCTAACACAAACAGTTTTGCTTCATTCCTCGAAACTCCTCCAGTCGGCAAGTATCAAGGTGTTTTCATGGGAGCCTTCCTTGCGAATGGTTCCATTTTACACTTGATCAAACATTGCGGATTGCGTATTCTCGGTCAAGTAAAACCAGCGTGCATTGTTTATTGCTGTATTCCGACCTTCTGGGCAGGATTATTGCCACTTCTCGAATCGCTACTTCTCTGGCAAGGCCATGATTATACAGGGTTATCTCCCCACTGGCAAGGTGTTGCCCATCGCTGCAGGTGAATCATTCCGTCCACGTTTGTCATGTTGACTTCCTATCACCCATCAGCTGTTTTTTCTGAATGGAAAGATGGAGTTTACACAGTTGCCGCTGAAACCTCTGACAACACTGAATGGGTATGGGATCAGTTAAAGCAAACCATTCTTGGAGAATGGCTGGATGCAAAAAACGGTCCGATTACCATTATGTCGGATCGTGGAGCCGCAATTCTCAAAGGAGTACAACTCGCTCTTCCACATTCAGACATTGCTTTCTGTGCAACTCATCTGTTCGCCAATGTCAATGCTCATTGTCGAAGTATTATACTGTGATATATGTTATACACTGACTAGTTCATGGTCTGTAGGCAATAAAAGCCCCCAATTGCAAGGTTCCAAATCAGGCAAAGATCAACCCAACACTGCTGGACTGTTCTGGAAGGCTGTTGTAAGATGCGCCCCTCCATACATTGTCCCACACTTCCTCCACTCACTGTCATCATCTTAGGCTGCTTGGACCAAGCAGGAGTTTGACAACCATATGTCACAATTGCGTGAGCACAACCGAGTGGCGTGGGAGTACCTTGACCAAATCGAGCCTCGACACTGGGTGCATGTCTTCCATTTCGCACGGTCATGATTGCTAATCCTTTGCACCCCAGGCGAGATATGCTCAATGCCAATACTCGTCAACTGCGTCCAGTGTGAAACTGGACAGTTTTGTTCGAAGTTACAATGTGCGGACCAACAATGCTTGTGAGAGTGAAAACAATCGTCTGCGCAATAACCTGGCACGATGCTCTAACCCCCTCAATTTCTTCATGGTCTTGGCAGAAACTTGGGTGCATAGGATGAAGGAGTGTATCACTCTCACCACTCACCTTCAATCTCCACGATGTGGTCCTCGTCATAGTTTTGTTTCAGACCAAGTACACAAATGTCACAGGAAATTCATCCATCAGTCAAAGCGTTTTCATGTAGACAAGGTGTCTATTCCAGGGTTAGTCAAGTTGACATTGGGCGAATCTTCAGTTCAACATCCTTCTCCATCCCGATACACTGAATTCTGGGTTAGCCTTCAAGAGAAGTGGTGTAGACCATGTGGTTTCTGGCAAAGAAACGGTAAGCCTTGTTCTCACGCCTTCGCCGCCTATTTGCAATTACCATCCATCGACAACAGCAAGAAAGAAACCATAATCCTCAAGGACCTCTACGAAAACTGTTGGTTAGCAGATACCTGGATTGCTGCCATCGCTGATAATGAAGGCTTCAAGGTCGGTATTATTCCACTGATTCATGACTTCAGCCCTGCTGATGATGACGAATTCCGTCATCCCCCGGCCAGACATTGCAAACCTGGTCAGATGGAAGGCAGGAAGGCATCTAGAGGAGACCCTGATTATGTACCCAAATGCAAAAAAACCAGGCGGGGAGAAAGGAGGGTTACTCGGCCAGCGTGCAGGCTGTCGGGGCAGTATAGTCGTCAGGCAGGAGGCGGAGCAGGCTGTCGGGTCAGGATAGTCGTCAGGCAGGAGGCGGAGCAGGCTGTCGGGGCAGGATAGCCGTCAGGCAGGAGGCGGAGCAGGCTGTCGGGTCAGGATAGTCGTCAGGCAGGAGGCGGAGTAGGCTGTCGGGGCAGTATAGTCGTCTGGCAGGAGGCGGAGCAGGCTGTCGGGTCAGGATAGTCGTCAGGCAGGAGGCGGAGCAGGCTGTCGGGTCAGGATAGTCGTCAGGCAGGAGGCGGAGCAGGCTGTCGGGGCAGTATAGTCGTCAGGCAGGAGGCGGAGCAGGCTGTCGGGGCAGGATAGTCGACAGGCAGGAGGCGGAGCAGGCTGTCGGGGCAGGATAGCCGTCAGGCAGGAGGCGGAGCAGGCTGTCGGGCGGCAG